GGACGTGGCCGTGGGCAACCGGGTGTGGTGGGAGGTGTCCCTGCCCATGGCAGGGGGGTTGGAACTCGATGATCTTCAAGGTCATTTCCAACCTCAACCATTCTATGATTCTATGATTTGTAACCAACCAGCTCTCTCATCCTGGAACTGATGGTTTTGGCTCTTTTTTGGTACAACAAGGAAGTTTTTTTAGCATGGGTTGGAGCTGGGCGCTTCGCTGTGCTTCCTCTTGGCTGAGAAATGGGCCTGTGTTGTATTGCACCAGCTTTAATATCGGTGACTCTGGCGGCTCTCAGCGGTACTTAAGAACTTCATCATATTGAAACCGCTTTTAATTAATGAAAGGAGAAAGGCGGTTTTCACCTGCTGACAGATTTGTATGCTTCCTAATGTTGTGCCACGCTTTTCTTTGGTGTTCTTTCCCATATAGCTTTCTTATATATCTCCGTATTGCACTGGGGGATTATTCGGGGATCTCAGCACAAAACTTCAGAGCTGTGGTCATTGCAAGAGGCGCGAGAGAAAAATAAAATGAAAGTTTATATATCTTTTTATATTCCTAGAACTATAGAATACAGCCATAGAGGAAAAAAAAAAAAGTTAATTCCTAGTGCTCGGTCAATAAGAGTTGCAGAGAATAAACATGTGTTGTGATGGGCTTCATCTCACCCAGCTTTATACGACCGACCGTCTCTGTCTAAGCTAATTGTCCGGGCGCTATTTACGGTCAGTGAAGAGGAACAGGCACTTAGCATGCTGTGTTTCATCTGACCTATTTTAGCCATCTATCTTAGAAGGAGATGAATCACACCCCCGCAGTACCAGCTTCTCTCCGTTGACTCAAAAAAGGACCTAGAGCGACAAACTCCGATGTGGATATTTGCACTGTACACAAGTCTTGAGTTAAATGCTGTGAACCCCTCCTGCTGGGTTGAACATAAACCAAACATATGGGCTTGAGATGAAGGCGGGGGGGATCGAGCTCTAAAATGCTCTTTTAACGCTGGAATAAAAAAATAATATCACAGCTGCTTTGCAAACTGAGCATTTATAATTGCTTTGCTAAGTTTAAACTATTTACATTTCTTAGCGGAGTTGCACTCCAGCCCGGTGTTTGAGCTGAAAAGCTTTAGGGACAGATAACACTCGATCATAAAAGTCTGCAAGTTGCGCGTTTGGGAGATTTTCAGGATTGCCATCATCGTGACAGCAGTTCTCCCGGGAGCACAACCCGTCTTGGCAATTTTATACATCGTTTCTATTCTCTGGAAGTGCGGAAGAGACCTGCTACTGGGGCTGCGCGTGTTTGAGGGGAAAATAAACACCCTTGAAATGGGATGCTGACTTCGGAGCTCGTATAGCTCTGATCTGAGGGCTCGTACTTTGGGTGTTATAGAAGCCCACGAGGTGTTAAAACCCTCATGCTGCCCTAGGACTGTGCCTTATGGACTGAACGTGCCCTGCAAGGTGAATGCCAGTAGAGCTCTGCCTCTACCGAGAGACGAGAACTCAAGCTGCATCACCTGTATCGCTGTAGGGATTTAGGGATTTGTGGCTGGGAATTCCCTGACATCTTTATCAAATGAATCCCAGCCATAAGCTCATATTATAGAACTACTTTATTATTTTAGTTTGGAATCACAGAATCATTTTGGTTGGAAGACCATCAAGTCCAACTGTTAACCTAACGCTGCCAAGGCCACGACTAAACCATGTCTCTCAGCACCACGTCTACACGGCTTTTAAATACCTCCAGGGATGGCGACTCCACCACTGCCCTGGGCAACCTGTTCCAATGCTCTACAACCCTTTCGGTGAAGAACTTTTTCCGAACATCCAATCTAAACCTCCCCTGGCGCAACTTGAGGCCGTTTCCTCTTGTCCTATCGCCTGTTCCTTGGGAGAAGAGAATAGAATCGTTTTAGTTAGAAGAGACCTTTAAGATCAGATTAAATTAAGATTCACATGATTGTTTTAATTATTATTATTAATGATTATTTTTAATAAAAGACGTAAATATTTAATTATTAATTTTATTTTACATACTTATTATTTTAATAACAAATTTTTTTTAAAATGCTGTCTATTTGGTAGAACTGACATCACTTGTAAGAACCTGGAGGCGTTAACATATAGCTCTTTCCCAGCCATACGGTCCGTCTCCCTTCGCTTCCCAGAGCCATCCCGTGGCAGGGGGACCTGCAGTCGCTGCTTGACCCCTCCGGACCGGCCTTCGGCAGGGGTGGCCGGCGGCAGGGCTGAGCGAGCCGCCTGCACGGGCCGCTTGGAAGACATTCCTCTTCGGTTGTTTTCTCATGGCTGTAGCTTTTGCACCAGCAATCCTGAGGCAGGTTTAACATCTAAGGTTGAAGGAAGAAGTTAACTTGTGGTAGCAAATACTTTACACTGGGTAGGCGGAGGATGAAGAAATCATAGAATCATAGAATTGTCCAGGTTGGAAGAGACCCTTGGGATCATCGAGTCCAACCATCTGCCCTACTCTACAAAGTTCTCCTCTACACCATATCCCCCAACACC